GGAGCAGGGAATCAGTGAGAGAATGCAGGATAAGTTTTCTTCTTCTTATGGTGTCCTCATTAACTCAGGATCTAGTGGAAAAAAACTCTGATCTCTCTGTTTCCTACTATCAGTGGTGTGAGACTTCCAGATCTCTCTCAACACTGCCATCTTGTGTAGAATATCACACAATACAAATTGTGAGTTGGAAAAAAAAGCTTTTTGTTAAACTAGGTAGAAAACAATATCAAAGCAACAATAGTAGTCCTCTCCACAGTAAGGAAGGCTGAAACTCTGACAGATTGATAATAGGGTCCTTTATAACCTTCTTAACACTAATCTCCTCCCTCTAAATTGGTCAAATTGTTGCTCATATCCCCCTAGCTCATAATATTTCACCTTTTGTGGAGTAAACAGTACGAACACTTACATGTGTAGGAAAGGAACTCCCGAACAATGTACTAAATCTAAACAGCATTTAGCCTTTTGGATGTTATTACACAACATCAACCCACACTACACATGCATTTTGAGGTTATTCTTCAAATAAAGATGAACTACAAAGGAATAAACGTTACATAAATATAGAGAATAGCTGAAGCTGTCATTTATAAAACCCAAAACATATGAAGGTGTGTTTATGACAATACAATGCAATGCACTAATAGGAAATGGAAACAGGAAACATCCTGCTTTGTTTTCCTACCTCCTTCTATACTACCTGCAGTATTTGGATACCTCTTATCCTTGCGACGGCTGAGGTGTTCTACTTTGGCTTAAGTTTCCTCACCAATTTACACAGTTTTGATGAACCCTTAGTCAGCCCAAGCCTTGACCCAACCAGGCTTTGTCCCCTAGCCCAGTTGCCATGGTAACCCAGCCAGACTCACAGTGAGCCAGGATTATGAAATCCAAAAGACAACAAATTAAGTCGGGCTTGGCAAACTAACCCTGGTTTATGGCATTTGTGTCTTCTCTGTCTCTGAGTTCTATTGTACCAACAGTTCCTGATTTTAAGCTTGGGGTTTGCACTCCAACATGCACTGACAGCAGTGGGACCTTATAGAGAAAGATGTTAACCTTTTCTAATTATGTCCAATGGACTGAATATAAAACAGTTGGACTCATCCCTATGAAGATAAGAAGAAAATGCATGCATTGCATAGCTGGCAAACTACTTTTGTATCTACTTTAACATTTAGAAAATTGTATTCCAGCCTTTGCAAAACACTAAGGTTTAGAAGTGAAAGATATTTTTAACAATGCACATGCAAAAAAAAAAAAAAACTACCTTAATTCCAAATGTAATTCTGTAAACAAAATACTGAATAAATTATCGCCTTTCAAAGGTGCAGATTTGCTAACCAGGTCACACTTTTAAACAAATAAACCACAATCTAAAACATTAACTTGTTTACCTACACCAGTTGCTGCAGGGGCTTTGCTTTATCACTCACCACTTCATTACCACATCCTGTCCTCCTACAACATCCCGTACAAGTGTGTTTCAATATATCAAAAGAAGCTGAATGTACTGAACATATCTGAAAAAATTCATTCAGCATGTAAAATATATATTTATGAGCTAGAATTTCACTTTGGCCCAAGTGGAAAGGTGTAAACCTTATTCAGTTTTTATGAGAAATCCAGAATTTTCATGTGAATGTTACATCTAATTATAAATAAATAGACAACATTTATATAAACTTATGTATTGAATAGTGAATAATGATCAAGACTATTTCAAAGTGTTAAACAGGTTGTTGGTTTCTAAATATGTCATGTTTTGCTTTAACACCTGTGTGAGTGACTTTTAGGAGAAAAGACTTTCCTTCCTTTCAGTTGAATGTAAAGATAGCTTATTGATCCTATAAGATCAGGGGCTTTCAACCCTGGGCCACATGAGCTCCTGTCCTCCATGTTTTTGATGTCTCTGCTTCAACTCGCCTATATTGAATACTTGCAATCCCTCCTCCACAGCTATGAAGAGGTTTAAAAAGGCCTTTTAATCATCATTTAATTAGGTGTGCTGTGTGGAGGCAGAGGAACACCTAAACATGCAGGACTGTGGGACTTAAGGATCAGGATGGGAGATGCCTCTTGCTGATGGTTCAAAAGGCCTCCTTCTGCAGGGGCAGGGTGCAACCATTTTTACATTACAAACCGGAAGGTGGGTAACTAAGACCACTTTTGAATTGTTTTATTTCAAAGCTTATGTCACTTTAAAGTGTTAATTTATAAAAATAAAAATTTAAAAGATCCCAACGTGCTGTTTGTCTAGATTGTTAAACACTATTTCCTTCCTATACACAATCAGCCATATTTTTGCTGATAAAGTTCTGTCAAATGCAAAGAAAAGCTGTTGGTTACTGTGGGAAGTTAGAGGGGTGCAAAGCAGACAGGTTGGCATGGGAGTTTGAGCAAATAGAAAAACCTTTCTTGGTGGATCCTGGAGACAGTTGTGACAGTCTGGGATGAAACTTGGATGTTTTGTTTTTAATCATACTGTATGGGAGTTCCTCAGGGTTCAACATTTGGAAAATTCATTTTCTCTCAAGATTTGATCAGCTTTACATTCAGCAAGTACTTCATTAAGTTTCTCTCCAGATTAGAATTACAGATTCCTTACATTATAATCTGAAATGTCACCATTTGCTTTTAAACCAATGTTTTGCAACTTTATTTTGTGTTTGGACACAGACATAGAAGGAGCCATAGCCAAAACAATGAGAATATCACTGTAAAGGCTGAAAATATCAGGGTTCCTATGTGTGTGTGTGTTAGTGCAAGTTGTGCATCTCTCCTGTAGAGGATCTTTGTGGAGAACTTGGGTAGCCTACACAGGTGAAAGTAATCTTGATAATCATAGTGCTGGGCTTAAAAGAGCACCAGAGCCTTCATTCAGTGCTGCTTTCTTGTGCGTTGAAGATGTTCGTTGCTTCCTACTCTCTTGCTTCCCTCGAGTATTTTTCCTGACGTTTTTTTGGTTTTGTTTGGTTTTCATCATTTTTGTATTTTGGATTTCTGTTTCCTTTGGACTTACATTAAACCATCCAAACTCATCCGTGCCTACTCCTCTCTGCATTTGGGTTGTCAAAACCTACACCCAACCTGACAGAAAAAGGGATGTTCCATACTTGTTAGATGAACAGTGCACATGAAAATAGTTCTGAGTTAAAGATGTATTAGTAAAAATGCATTTTCACTGGGTATAGAACAGACATAAAATCAATGGCACTTTAGAAACAGGTTTGAGAGTTAAATTTAGACGGACCATTATAGCTTTAAGACACAAAACCAGTAACTTTCTCTCATATCTGCATAATACATCACTTACTATAGATTAGTGTAACAAAAATTGTTTAAAGTTTGAATAAATCTGCTATATTTTTTGTATAAGTTTGTATAAGAAAACACACTTATTTTATAAGAAAATAATTTAATTTATCAAGTTACAATACCAAGTAGGTTGCAGAACTACATCTTAAAATTTAAAATAGAAGCTAAAATAAGAAGTACCCATGTCACAGTGATTGTAGGGTTTCCATTTGATCAATCAGCGAGTGTCATCTTTGACTACTTCCTTTGACATGAGAAGGACTTCCTTAACTCATCAGGCCTTCAAGTAGATTTAGTGAAACTCTCTATATAAGCGTACTTAGAAATGTGTGATAATGTTTTTGGTGTCTTTTTGGAATTGATGGAACATGTTTCTAATGAAACATTTGAGGTATTTTTAAAGTACGTAAAAATACATAGATAGGGTAGGGTTTTTGTCTTGGTATCTTCAGGACATGATTATGCAAACGTTCAAAGGTGCTCCAACTATAATGTTAACCTTATTACAACTTAGCTTTAACTTTTTAATAAACAGTTTCAGTTCACTTAAAAAACAAACAGTCTTAAAGTGAACTGAAATTCACTGTCTGTTTAAAATATACAGAGAGTTAGGTTTTGTCTAAGATGTTTCTAACATCATTAGTCACCGTCTATGTTCCCCAACACAAAACTACATAAACATTGTCCTTGTTAAAAATAATTTTCAACTAGTCCTCTTTGAATATATTTACTAGCCAGTACGTTTTCCCCTATGCTTCACATGGTAGAGATGTAGTAAGAATTGGTACAACCCTTGGTTTTTGAAAAATTTCAAATTTACCCAAAACATAAGCAAAATTGATTTCTGAACATATCTAGCAAGACAAATAAGGCTCCATGGCACATTTACATATATTTTTCTTAGATATAGTGATAGAGAGAAAAACATTTGATATCTGGAAACTTATCCTTGTCGTAATTGTTATGTCAGCATGAGGAGTTCTGTAATAAATGTAGCAGTGTTGCGAATTTAAGTACCTTTTCAAAAATGATCCTATTGGTCATAAAAGTCTGATTTTCCTTTGGACATAGATTTAGGATGAAATGTAAACTAGTCTTTCCATCGTGTGTGTAAAAAAAGGCCTTCACTTCCTCTTGTCCCTCATTTTCTTCAATTTGCACAATCATGCAAATTAGGTTATTTGGCTGCATACATAGTTTCCAAAATTGAGTCAGCTCAATGCACAAGCACTTTTTTTAAGCCATTTTATTATCTTGCTTCTCAGATATTTTCAGTTGTTATGTTACTACCCAATGAGAGAGGAGGGTTTAGACTAAGTTCTGTAGATTGAAAGACTTTGTTCAATTTTTTGGCTTTACATGGGTTTTGAACTGATATTAGCTCTAAAGGGAAGTAGACAAGGTTTGGGATACCGCTTTTGTCATTCTTTTGAGATAATTAATACTAAGTAATGTCAAATTATGTCTATGATGAGTGTATGAGAGATGTAAGAGTATGTGTGTGAGGTTCTTGAATATATTATTTCATATATAAAGGGTTTTATTTGCATTGCTATCTTTATCAGTGGATGCACTGGGTAGGTTTTTTTCCATACAATTTTAAAATGACAAAAAAGTGGCCACAAACAGATCTTTGTTTAGTCACCTGTCCCTCCCTCTCTGTCATCTCTAGTCTCTCTCTCTTTCTCTACGCTCCCCCTCACTGTTGTGGCCTGAGCGCTACAGCCACAGAAAGTGCAGTTATATCAGAGGTAACTGCAGCAACAGGTTGTTCTCCAACTGACAGATATTCTGAGGGATCATAATGGGAAACTGCACCTCAGGGTAGGTCCTCTCCTTCGTGTCATTTCATTATCTGAAAAGTAATAAGTCAATATTTGGCAAATGGGTATTGATACTTCTGTATTTCTATATGTACAGCTCTATATCCAGAAAAAGTATGTTAAAATAAGACTTATGTTGAATAATCCTTTTTATTTTAAACTGTTAAATGGTAATGTTAAAGGCTCCATTAACTCGCTATTTTTTATGAAATGTGTAGTTTCTGCTCTCAGCCGTTGTGCATTTGCTTTATCAAGGAAATAGCTGTTATGGTTAAAAATAGAACAGGTTTCAGTCGCTATCTTCTGAGAGAACCAAGTTGAACGTATTTGTATTTTTAGTTGCAGCACTATGAAGTGTTGTTCCCAAAATTCTTCCGAGTTAAAAATTTTAGTTTGCACTGTTGCCTGCATGGACAGTTGCTTTAAAACAGACTTGACAGATAGCCTGGTGTCTGTTGTTGAAAAAAAAAGGCTTCCTGTTGCAGTAGTCTCTCCGTTGAGCTGTCAAGGAAACTAGTGGTAAAAGTGGCCCCTCAAACTAATCCAACTAATGCTTACTCTATGGTAGTTCACAAAGGTAACAAGTTATGAGTTTTTGATTACTATAGAAGAAATGTATCTCTTGCAATTAAATTTCCTTGCCTTAGTGTGTAACCATTAGACCATGCCACTAGAACATATTAACCATGTGAGAGATTAATGTTGCAGATAATTCAACTTTTTAATGATCTACTATGGCCAGACCTGCAAAATCAGGAAATTGCTTATTATGGGCCTGTCTCTCAACCAGTGGCGGCCGGCCCATAGGGGGCGCTGGGGCACCGCCCTCCCTGATAAGAAGAGAGAAACGTAAAATATATTTTTAGAAATTAACTCATAAATGTCAGTTTTACTCTCTAGACTGTGTACCTATAAGCAAAACAAATTATATAAACTACATTTCCCTATCTACTGTCATTAATTTGTGGATTTCCACAGACAGACTCCTACCGTCTCTGTTCTGGAGGCGCTGATCAGACTGACCCACATTTGCAGAGAATCTGTCAATCATGTACTATTGCTAGGTGAATTTAATGGCCAATCAGCGTCTCGGAACTTTATGGTATTGGGGCGCTGAAAATACTGCGCTTTAACAGGCTTCTGAACCCAAGCGCAGGTGCAGACAGTTAGAGGGAAGATGGCGAATGTAACGACCGAGATGCAGCTTCCACCAAATTCGGTGAGATCCTTATTTATCTACCCGTTTGCCAGAAGAACATCCCTGTTGTAGGATATGAACATTTCATGTCATGGTTATTGTGACTGTGACGAATCCACCTCCTCGCTTAAAACAACCTCTCTAACTTTGCGCGCCACACACACATTCCTGTTATACTGTGTTTGTGAGGACCAATACACTCGCGCTGAGACCAGTAGCTCCATGAACTTAAAACACACAAGCTGTTCCTGGTTACCTGCTGGCATATTGAGGGTGCACACTTAATATTTCAGTGGGGTTAGCCACACACAACTAACTTAACTTAGCCGTGTGTGTGTGTGGGGGGGGTGTACGTGTTTATGCTACGGGGACTTGTCATCTTCAGTCTGGCTGCGTCTTTGCTGGGTTCAAACCCAGTTTGGTGTAATTGCATAAGTCAATGAATCTGTGTAAAAGAATTAAGTTGTAAAAATTATTTGTTTTTGTACATCAATTGTTTGTGGAGGTAATATATGGACAAAACTGATTAATGAGAAGAAATCAGAAATAAGAGAGCCTGATGTGAGGGGCTTAAACTATTTAATGAGGGCTGTGGGAAGAAAAGCGGCAATTTTTGTTTTCTGTTTCTTTGTTACATTGCTGGTAACTGGAGGGAGGCTGAGGCCCAGAGTATCTTGTACATGTTTAGTTTCTTTTGCACCCTGTTTTGAGTTTTTGAGCTCAATAAATCCCCAACACCGGTAATCCGACTGAGACTGGATTCTTGAAGGCCAAAGAACCCCGTCACAGTGACCCAAATCATCACTGTTACTGTTATTATATAGTAAATTAAATCATTACTGTTAAATTGTATGTATTGTCCAATTGTTTATTTGAATTCTTATTCCGCTGCTCTCAACATGACACCTCTAACATCTCAATAAGCAATACAGTAACGCTCTGCTCTAAAGGCATTCAGGAACCTAGAAGAAATAAGCTTACTGACATCTAACAGATTGGAAGGGCTTCAAAACTCCAGAAAACCACTATGAGCAAAATTAATTGCACATAGAGAAAACATTTCTGAACCCTTCCAGGCAATGTGAGTCTACTGAGTTCACAAAAAAAGCTCTGAACATCATCCAAAGCTCTGCGACCCTCTCTCCCCATTAAGGGATTTGTGTTAATAATTCAATAAATACTGGGGGGGGGGGGAATTCTGGGTTATCCCTGTAGTGTTGGGAGAATATTCTCTGTAATGAATTTTTGTGTAAAACCATCATTTCATCCTACCCACATACAAGCATGAGTTGTTACTGTAGGACCAGGAAATATGCCATAATTGATGAATGCATGAATTCCCTCTCCTGAATGAGAGTGTCCAGTCATTAGTCATTGACTTTAGGCTCAGGCACATTTCAGATCATGCAGCATGCTAAGGATTTTGCACATCAGGGAGTTCCTCTCTAAGCTTGAACAAGAGCAAAAGAAAAACAAGAACTATAACACCTGGTTGCAGTAATGACCACCAAAGATGGCAGAATCATTTAGGGGCCCATTGCTGTTTAACATAGAGGCAGTTTGGATTGGAGATACTCTGGAAACGTTATAAATTAGTGTATCGTTTAAAACAGTGCTTTTTACCTACTTATTAAGGTTATATTTGTCTAAAAATAAGACTTGTTTGATCATCTGAAATATTTAGGTAAAAAGTGAAAAAGCCAAATCTAGAATAAATCTATAGGATATTGTAATTTGCATTAACTGAAGTCTCATCGTGTCACTTTGCTTCTATTCCCAGGCTAAAGATTAAGAAAAAAGGTAAAAGTCTGGAAAACAATTACTTATTTGAACTTCAAAATATGCTATATTTAACTTACTGACATTTTCTCTTTCAGGACATGGTGCATCCACTGATGGAAGCAACGAGAACAAGGTAGACATCCTTACATATATTTTTGTTTAACATTTATATGCAAAACTTTCAGCTCTGCAGCAGTGTAGACATAAATGCCTCTGTACTTTTATGACAGTTAAGTCAATAGAACAGATTTGCATACTGTGTAAGCATAAGCGAGGCTTCTGTATATGCGCCATCACATTCAAAAAAAGAGCATGCACCATTCCACAAGGTAATTTTATTTTCCATCTCTGTGTACTGTTTCTTCTCAGCCCAGTGAGGATGTAACATATGCGTCCATCAACCACCCCACTGGCCACGGATCAAGACAGGAAAATGCTACCAATGTATACCAAGATGACAATGACTGTGACTATGCAACAGTTAAAATCCCAGAAGGAATTCCAGCAGATTCCCACTCAGAATCATCTAAAGATGAATGTGCAGACGATTATGTGCTCATGGGATGAAGGGCACTGAGGAAGATGAGCTCATTTGGACAAATACTTTTTCTCAGCGTGAAGGAGTTCCGCCGCTCATGAACTGTGAAAGCTTACAGACAAATCACGAATGTATCTAGATCATAAAAGATAAACTGTGGAAAAACTGAAAAGGCAACAGCCGGAACTTGTAGGGGTATTTAACTGCAAGATGGTAGTCTTCCTCTTTGAGGTTTTGCTGCTTCTAAAGGGATCAGGACTGCAAGAACATATCTGGAAGCAGTAATTTAAATAAGTTGGGACTTAGCTTTCGGGATTGGCTTTGACTCAAGTTGTCTACCAGCCACCCACAGTACTACCCATAGGCCAGTATATTTCTGCTGTGACAACCTTACTAAAAGTACTGGAGTTTCATACTATGTGACTGTTGACAAAAACAATGAAAAAAAAAAAAAGTTTTTGATGTGACCTAACTGTTTTCGTTAAACAGTTTGCCAGCCAGTTTGTAGCTCACCTATGGTAGTTGTGAAGGAGTGACATCCTATTCAGATTAAGAGAAGACAGGACTGCCTTCATTTCCTCTACTACCTTCTCCAGCCTCTTTTATTACAAGAACTTGCAAGAACAATATAATGGAAAATTTGAGCAGTAGCCTAGGATACTTTAATATTAAGTAAACAGCCTATGTCTATTTCACTCACCTTTATTTAGCCCCATCTGATACGGATTGATAATTTTTGAAAACTTTAACATAAGTCATGTTTTTGTGTTTAGTTTTTTTTTTTTTTCATGTGCTAAATTGAGCTGCACACTGCAATTAGTACGTCTTTAAGTGAAGCCAATGCAGGAAAAGCAGTCTGCAAGCGGAGTTAGTGAGAGTAATCTTTCTGAGACGCCTGAAGCCACTACAGGTAGAATTACATAAATTAAACATTGATAAATGTTACTCTACCTCTACTGCCAAAATTGCATCCTTGCATTTTACCTTTTATTACTTCAAAACAAATGTACAAAAAAACCCAAAAGATTTATAGATAGAAAGAATAACAACTGAGTTTTCTGTTTGTTTTTGTTTTATTTAAATTCTGCTGATGTGGGTGTTCCTCTGCTCTCAATCTATAAATATTCTGCAGCAGATGGAGGTTTGATCTTTATCTGTCTGTTACACTTAGTACTGTTGAAACAGAACACCCATGCTTTGCTCCACTTTTAACCAAAGTTACACCACTTCTGAAACCTCCCATCGAGCTGCACAATCAGCCTTCACTGATATTAATAGCATAGTCCGATTTCCTCTTGAATTCATTTTTCAATTTTTCAAATTTATCACAGAAGAGAATATAGACGTATCAGTATAGGAATAAAAGTACAAATAGCGTGTAAACTACACTCATATTTTTAGCCCCTGAAAAAATTCTACTCACTTCCTAAATATACTACTATGATTTAAATATTGTATGTACATGATGCAAGTTATTATGTGTATTGCATCTTGGAAGGGGAAATTATCATTATTTATTTTGGAGATGTTACCAAATAAATTAGTAAACTTTATTGTGGTATTTAATTTTTTTTTCTATAAATTAAAAAATTAAGCAGTAAAGGTTTTGAAATTTTGTTTTACTTCATCATTTAATTTAGGTTTATATTTAAACCAATTCACACCTAGAGTGATAATACGCTTGATCGCATATTAAAATTACTCAAGCCATTTTTCCTATCAAAAGGCAATTATCATTGGTTATTGTCTAAAAAAGCTGAGTAAAGAAAGTTAAATCAATAAGAAAGTTTTCTCTAAAATGACTATTATAAATTTAAGTGTTTGTTTTCTTAGTGTGGGGACACAAGTGGCCTAACTTGTAATTTCAATCATAAGAACAATGTAACACTGCGGGCCTGAATTTTCCCAAAACTTCTATAATAAAAAAAATTCTCATTACATTACTGTCATGATGGGTTCACTGGTGTGACCCAATTATGCAGAACACCACTGAGACGGAAACTGGAGTAAAAGGTTTAACAGAGTTTATTGACACAAGCACAGAGATTATGACTGGTTCTGGTTCAGGCCTGGGAAACTGGTTCACCGGAGTCTGCGTGAGAAACAGTTCAGTTAGCGTTGCGCATAGGAGTTTGATTCTTGACAGTTTCTGATTTGTACCTTGAGGGTTCTTGATTAAAGCCTTGAGAGGGAGGCTGTTGGATCTGGAGAGGATTTGATCAGCAGAGTCCGTAAGCTGCTTCAGCGTCTTACTTCTTAAGAATGAGTAGACCTTGGCTTTGAGTTTCCAGCTCTTGGTCCAGAACTGCATGGAAGTTCAGAGAGAGGCTTCAGGTTTGGCTCAGAGGGCAGGCTCGGCAGGTTAAGCTCTTCCAGAGCTTCACAGGAGAAAAACTGGTTTCCTGGAAGACAGAGACAAAGGTTAGAATCCAGTCTGGATTCAAAAGTCAACGAAGGTTCACAGAGATACTAGGCTTAGGTGCTAACCAACTGGATCAACACTGCGGCGTTGAGGCAAGGTCTGAAGACAGCTTAAGTACTGTGGATCCTCTGATGATGGAATGGGCTGCAGCTGTGCAGGAAGCTCAACTCAGGAGGATCCACGGCGGACTCTGCAGGAGAAAGGTGGTACTTCTCCAGCTCCCAACAGTACCCCCCCCTCAACGACCGCCCCATGGCGGTCCGGAAGACGTCGATGGACAGGAACGCTCATACTCCTCAATCAGGGATGGATCGAGGATGTAAGAACCGGGAACCCACTGGCGATCCTCCGGGCCATAGCCCTCCCAGTCGACGAGGTACTGCCAGCCGCGACCTCGCCGACGGGAGTCCACGATTCGACGGACGGTGAAGGCAGGATGACCATCGACTTCCAGGGCGGGTGGTGGGGAGTCGGATGGTGGGCACAGAGGACTTGAAATTACAGGTTTGACTTGGGAAACGTGGAAGGTAGGATGAATGCGGAGAGACTGAGGCAGTTGAAGACGTACGGCTGAAGGGTTGATGACCTGGGAAATCTTATACGGACCAATGAATTTGGGAGAGAGTTTACGAGACATTCCCTTGATGGGAATGTCTCGAGTGGATAGCCATACCTCTTGACCCACGGAGTACTCGGGGGCGGGGCGTCTCTTGGAGTCGGCAAAGCGCTTGGTAGTCTCAGAAGATCGATTGAGGGTCGTGATGGTTTCTCTCCATATCCGTTGGCAGCGTCTGATGTGCTGGTTGACTGACTGGACCGAAATCTCTCTCTCATCTGCGGGAAAAAGTGGAGGTTGGTAACCGAGACTGACCTGGAATGGTGATTGGCCGGTGGAAGCAGATTTGAGGGAATTATGAGCATATTCAATCCAAGTGAGATATTGGCTCCAGTCGGTGGGGTTGTTAGATGTCAGACAACGGAGGGTCGATTCCAGCTGTTGGTTCATCCTCTCTGTTTGGCCGTTGGACTGTGGGTGATAACCGGATGTTAGAGAGGACTTACAGTCGAGAGCAGAACAGAATGCCTTCCAAACTTGGGATATAAACTGGGGGCCACGGTCAGAGAGGATCTCCTGAGGGATGCCATGCAGACGGAAAACATGTTTCACTAGAAGCTGAGCGGTTTGGAAAGCCGTGGGAAGTTTCCTGAGAGGGATGAGATGCGGGGGTTTCGAGAATCGATCAACGATGGTGAGGATTGTTGACATACCTCGGGAGACAGGGAGACCAGTGACGAAGTCGATAGCTATATGGGACCATGGACGCGAGGGAACCGGAAGAGGCTGTAGCAGGCCTGAAGGAGGCTGATGTGAGGCTTTATTTCTTGCACAGGTGGGACAGGCCAACACATACTCCTTGACATCTCTGTGAAGAGTTGGCCACCAGAAGCGTCTCGAAATTAAGGCGACGGTCCTACTGACCCCCGGATGGGCGGAAAACTTGGCTGCATGCATCCATTGAATTAGACGAGACCTGACAGAAGATGGCAAATATGTTCGGTTAGCTAGACCATTACCTGGGTTGGGTTCTGTAGCCAGGGCGGCGTTAATTAGATCAGTGATCTCCCAGGTAACCACTCCAACTGTACAAGATGCGGGAAGGACAGGTTCAGGCGTCTCAGGTTGATCGACGGAGTATAGACGAGAGAGAGAATCGGGTTTGACATTCTTGGATCCGGGTCTGTAGGAGATAATGAGATTGAATCGTGAGAAGAAAATGGACCACCTGGATTGACGGGGATTGGCTTGTTTAGCTGACTGGATGTAAGCAAGGTTCTTGTGATCCGTCCAAACTAGAACCGGGTGCTCAGCTACCTCCAGCCAGTGTCTCCATTCCTCCAGCGCCAACTTGATGGCCAGTAGCTCACGGTCTCCAACATCGTAGTTTTGCTCTGCGGAAGAAAGTCTACGAGAGAAAAAGATACACGGATGGATCTTTTGATCGGAGTCGAGTCTCTGAGATAGGACAGCTCCTACACCTGAATCTGAAGTGTCCACTTCGAGGATGAATTGTTTGGATGGGTCAGGCTGAATTAACACGGGTGCTCTGGAAAACAATGATTTCAGTTTCTCAAATGCAGTTTGTGCCTCAGGGGTCCATTGAAAAGTTCGTTTGACTGAGGTTAGCGAGGTTAAGGGAAGAGCTGTCTGGCTATAGTTCCTGATGAAGCGGCGATAAAAATTGGCGAAACCCAGGAATCTCTGTAGCTGCTTGCGGTTTTCAGGAACTGGCCATTCCAAAACAGCCTTAATTTTGTCCTCAGAAGGCTTAACCTGCCCGCCCTCGAGCACAAACCCCAAAAAGGTGACTAAAGGCTGATGAAACTCACATTTTTCAGCTTTAACGAACTATTTGTTCTCCAGTAATCTTTGCAACACAAGGCGGACATGTTTCTTATGTTCAGAAAGGTTCTTTGAATAAATGAGTATGTCATCAATGTAGACGAACACGAACACATTTAAAAAGTCTCTGAGAACATCATTCACAAGGGCTTGAAAACAGGCAGGGGCATTTGTTAAACCAAAGGGCATGACCAAGTATTCGAACTGACCCAATGGGGTTTTGAAGGCTGTTTTCCACTCATCTCCATCACGGATTCTAAGAAGATGATAAGCATTCCTCAAATCTAGTTTGGTGAAAACAGTTGCCCCTTGTACAGGTTCAAAAGCTGTGGCGAGTAGAGGAAGAGGGTACTTGTTTTTAACTGTTATTTGGTTCAAGCCTCTGTAATCAATACATGGTCTTAAGGAACCATCCTTCTTGCCAACGAAAAAGAACCCAGCACCCAACGGAGAAGAAGATGGGCGAATTATCCCAGCAGCTAGAGACTCGTTAATGTACTTTTCCATGGTTTCTCGTTCTGGTTTGGAAATATTGTATAGTCTGCTGCTGGGTAGAGGTGCTCCAGGTAATAGCTCAATTGCACAGTCATATGGTCTGTGTGGTGGAAGGGACGTAGCACTGACCTTACTG